CTCCCGCCGCCCGCCAGCCGCGCAGCGACGAGCCTTCGCGAAAGGGAGGAGGGCCGCGAACGCTCCCGATCCAGGTGGCGGCGGGGGGGGGGAGCTGGCAGGAAACCCGAGCAAATGCTGGCCCTGCGCGGCCCCTGCCTTGGGGGTTCAGACGGGCATCGATTAAGTGGCGGAGATTCTCCCCCTCCCCCGATGCAGCCATAAAGCTGGAGGGGGGGAAAGGGGTCTGGAGGCTGCAAAAATGCCCCACGGGCTGAGCGCTGCCCACCCTGTATGGAAGGGGCAAAAGAAGGGCAACTTTACGGTACGGATTGGGAGAAGTGGGAAAGATCAGGAAAATGAAGGTGGTAAAGCAATGGGATTCGCATAAGATCCCGCTGATGTAGAAGCCTTCAGAGCAAGGGCGGCTGTAGTACCGGTGGGGATGGACCCAGTGGTGTACGTAGTTAGAAAACTCCGATTCGGGCAGTATTGATCTGTGTCACTTACCACCTTATTAGATGGTCATACGCATAATTCGCCTACTTCAAAATGTGTAAAGAATCTCTGTTGTGCTGAGCAGCCATTCTGCTGAAGGGAACCCTATACACTGTACCTCTCCACCAAATCCTGTCATGGATCTACTTCCTGTTCATATTTTTTTTCAAGTGCAGTACCAATAGGTTCTGCAGATAAAACTTGGTAGAATGATTATTCCAGATTTTGACACCATGCTATGTATGCGTAAAACTCTTTAAATTTTGGAAAGTCATGAATCTCACAACATGCAGAGTGACAGAAAAGAACAGTTGAATAAAGAACAGTGACGGAAGTACCATATGTTAAGATCTGTATATATTCCCTCACTGTGGAATATGCTATCTGTGCACCATCCGCCATTCTATGTACTTATCATACGGTCTTTGTACAAGTGTGGCACAGCATCGAGAAAGTTAGGAGTACATTGGAAATAGCACAACTGCTGCCACCCTTGGCGGGAAGCACCATGTGAATGTGCCCTAAAGAGCCCCTTGTGTAAAGCTGTGATAGCAGTTAGCTCATTTTTAGATTTTTTTTTTAAAAGAAATCAACTTGCAACTTCTTAGTGCATTGCACAACCCACCAACACAGCTGTGGAAATATTGCCCTGAACAGCTGTTGCAGTAACAAGTGGATCAAAGGTGCAAGATCAATAATATGAAGACAAATGACTGGATTAATTGGTAAATTGACAAATTTAAGTCATTCTATGTAGCTCATATTTTGCAGTGTGTTGACGGTCCAAGGGAAAAAAAATCAGCTTCCTGAAACTGACTAGAAATGAATTATTTCTGCAGTTCATTCAGTACTGATCCCTACTGAGGTCTGAATAAAGGTCACTAAAGATTTGAGCTCTGTTCATGCACTGCAGCTTTTAAAATCTGTGAATATGCTGTTTTGAGGGACTGGAGAAGTCAAAGGATGTGGAAACAAAATGTCATATCAACATGTGGGATCAGACTTGCCTTTCCATGCAGTGCTTCAAAAGGGCCCATTCTGTTGCTTCTTTGTCCATCGTCATGCCTGCCATCACCAGTGGAGCAGGTTTTGTTGCTTATTATCTAACCAGAAGTGTCAATGGGCTCCATTTCCTCTAAAACTTTTTGGTTGCTGTTATTTACCCTCATACTTCTCACCTCCTGCTTCTAACTAGCAAGCACGAAGGACGTGTCTTATTTTATCCCCCCCAAAAAACAGTTAATATTGTATTAACTGTTCTGTTATTGGCCAAAATCCCTTTGTATAAATTATTCCAGGATAAAGGAAATGGTATTGCCTACAGCAGCAGATGGCTGCTAATTAAATAGTTTCTGCTTCAATTCCTCATTGCTTAAACTTAATCTCATTGTGTATGAGTCCGGTAGCTTTTTGTGGCACCCAGAATCAAAGTGAGGACTCTTTAATAAATGGCAAAGTCTTGCTGCAGATCACAGGGTTTCCTTTTTGCTCACATAATTTATGTAAGAGGATTTTGGCAATTGATGCTTTATTTACTTGTTATGTTTTTGGTGTTTATGATATTATTTTGTTATTGATGTGTTATTTACTTGTTATGAAACTGATTTTGATTCATTAGAAAAGTTCTTAATTTTGTGCCTTGATTTTCTCTGAATTGCATTAAGCGTATTATGGAAAGACAGCACACAAATATAGTAACTGATGATTCGTTAATATGTACAGTATTAGACTATGCATACACTTATCCTGGGTAAAGGAAAAGTGTGCTTTGTTGCCTCCTGTTTCCATTCACAAAGTTATTACGGAGCAAGAGTTCATTTTATGAATCCTGTCCTGTGTTCTAACTAAGGTGGATGTTGTCTTTGCCCAACACAAAATCTGATCAAAATACACTGAAGTTGTGTTTATGAATTGCATAAATGTGGCATAGATCAACTGAAAGATTTTGCTGGATCCATTTAGATAAGTGAATATTGGAATAAACTAAAATCAAAGAGTGTGCCTGTACTGACCTAAACCAAGGCCTGAAACTTATTCAAGACATTTCCAACCTTTCGATCTACATCATATGCCAAGGCTGAACTGTTTCCAATTACTTCACATTGACCAATGTCCATTTCTGCCTGCTAAAGAAAGAATGCTCTCTTATGCTCCCGATTCAGTCACACAAAGGTTTCAAGAGCCTGGAAATATAGCTAGTGTTGATTAGAGATATGCAGATTCATATTTTTGACACAAATCTCATAGAATCATAGAACTGTAGAGTTGGGTCCCAAGGATCACTAGCATCTAATTCCCTGCTGCAGCAGGAAATCTACAACTGAAACATCCTTGACTGGTTGCCATCTAATCTCTGGTTAAAATACTCCATTGAAGGAGAGCCCATCACCCTCCATCCACTGTTGAACACCTCTTATTGTGAAGATATTTTATCTAATGTTTAGATAAAATCTCTTTTCTTATGAATTGAATCGACTGCTTCAGTGCCATCATCTGCTTGACAGCCTTTCAAATTTTTGAAGGTGGCTGTCATATTACTTCTCAGCCTTCTCCAAGCTAAACATGTTTGTTTGTTTGTTTATTTATTTATATCTCACCCATCTAGACATTGACTACTCTGGGTAGCTCACATCAGGTGGGATAATACAATTATGATGTAACAACAGTTTACAACATGCCAAGTTCACCTGAACAGTTCCTCATGGGGATGAATTTCCAGGCTTTTGCCATGCTAGTTGTCCTAATCTGGGCATGTTCTCATATTCTAATAGTCTTAAACTGTAATGCCCAGAACTGGCCACTGTATTCCATGCCTGATTAAAGTAGAATAACTATTATTTCCCTTGACCTAAGCTTCTGTTGAGGCAACCTGCATTTGTTTGTTGTTGTTTTTTGCTGCTGCATCACCCTTGCAACTTCTGTTTCAACCTACGAGATCCCTAGACCTGTTTGCATCTTACAAACCAACTCTCACCTGTTTTGTTTTTTTTCCCTTCTGCAACGTAGAACTTTACCATTTTCCCTGTTGAAACTATTTTTTTAACATGGCCCAGTTCTCCAACCTTTTGAGGCAATCTTGAATCCTGATGCTGTCTTCTAAGAATCAGCTACCCCTCTAGTTTGATGTTATCTGCCAATTTCATGCACATTCATTCTATGACAATATCCAAGTCATTTAAAAAGACATCAAACAACATAGGGCCCAGGACAGAACCATATAGCACCACTTATCCGTTCTCTCCAAGAAGAAGAGCCACTGGTGAGTAATATTTGATTACAGCCTGTCAGGTGGTGACAAAGCCACCAGTCTAGCCCACATTTTACCAGCTCTTACACAAGAATATA